AGAATTGGGATGTGGCATGGTGACTCAGTAGTATTTCAGACCCAGAAGAGATCATTGGTGCCCTTAAGATGACCAGCCCATGGATATCCTTCTAAAGCAGAACTGATTCCAGACTCTACAGGTGACAGTTGTTTAAGCCATGGGAGCCACTGGGGCACTAGAGGTAGACCTTAGAGAGACAGATTGGAGACGGAGAGTAAAGATTTAAAAATCAAGCTGGGATTGAGAGAGGAGACCATAATGGTAGCAGTAGAATATGAGAATGAAATCTGACAATTTTGTGCTGGTAGGACAACTTTCCTACTTTCTAGGATCATCATCTCTTTTTGGCTTCTGTTGAGTCTAGTAGATGTTGACAGAAACAGCAACTCCTTGGCTTTCAAACTGTGCTTTTCCTTCCTTTGTGAGATCTGGAAGAAGCCTTCATCCCCCATCTTTTCTCAGGATTCTTTGCCTCTAAGTATGGGTAGCCCAGTGTAGACCTTGTACAGGTGGAACAAGGTAAATCAGACAGATACATGCCATTTGGGAGACACACTTGTGGGTCAGATGGATCATAATTCTCGATGAGGTAGTGGGTAAAGGAAGGTGAAGTCAGAGGTTTTCATACCAGGAGGTTAGGACTAGAGAAGGGACAGAGAGTAAGTAGAGAGTGGAGCAGCTTAGGAAAGACAGTGTCCCTGGGCAGGTGGCTCCATTTGATTTCCGATTTAAAGGGGAAGGCTTAGATAGCCAAGAAGAAAAAGGCTAATAAGAAAAATATTAAACTGCAGTGTGTGTGTCCCCAGGGACTTCCTGTTGCCATGACTGACCTCCTGGAGAGCGCCATTCGTTCCCGAACATGGCAGCTTTATAGGCACTTGTAGGCCTACAAAGAACACCAATTTGCTGCTGCAGTTTGTTTTGATAACGGAAACTTTCAATAAATCTATATTAAAATCAAAGGGAAAATTAACTAGGCCCCAGTGAGGGGTACAGAGATAAGGGAACGCATTACCACCCTGGCCTCAGCCACCCCACATCTATCTCTTAGTTCAGATTCAGGTCACCAGGGAGATGAATGGCTCAGGCTTGTGGGGAACAGCCCTGGAGAAAGCAGAAAAAGAAGGAAGGCAAGGGCTAGCCCCTCCTGTTTCTCCTGCAGTAGAGGAATCCAGTGGATAGGGGTGGTCATGGTGGGAGGAAGAGTAGGGAATGGTAAAAACAATGGTAGTAACAGTCACTGTTTACTGAACTCTTTATGTCAGGTACTAAGCAATTTGTATTTAATTCTAACAAGTACTAGTAGTATCTCCACTCTAGAGATGAAGAAACTGAGCCTGAGAGAAGTATTCAACTTGCCTAAGTTACAGACAGAGCCAGAACTCAATCCTCAGTATCCTGTCTCTGAGCCTACACTTCTCTTCCTAATACACTATACTGCCATATGTCGCTTGTAGGTACGACAGTGGTGGCAGAAGCAGTTTTTCCAGTTCCTGCAAAAAAAAATTATTTTAGACCCATTTGGGGTTGTCCCAACTGTGACAAGTTTTGGGGCTGTCATGTAGTATCCTTGGGTCTTGCATTTTCTTCCTTTCAATTGTTGGTTAATGTTCCAGCTTTTTTATTTTTTTGGTCGGTCATGGGGCTTGAACTCTGGGCTTGGGTGTTGTCCCTGCGCTCTTCAGCTCAAGGCAGGCGCTCTACTGCTTGAGCCACAGCACCACTTCTGGTTTTCTAGTAGTTTTTATTGGAGATAAGAGTCTCATGGACTTTTCTGCCTGGGCTGGCTTTGATCTCAGCCTCCTGAGTAGCTAGGATTACAGGCGTGAGCCACAGGTGCCCGGCTAATGTTCCAGCTTTGATAGCCACCCTGTTCTTTATTTTGGTGGCTTGAAGGATAACGGAATCAATTTGGTCCAGTCTTTGGTTCCTCTTGTCAGTTACCATTTTAGTCAGTTACTTAATCTAGAAGCTAAGAGAGTATGAAGGGCATATTTGAGTTTGTACATTGAAACTAGTTCATATGCCCTAATTTATGTGAATTTCCTTTTGGGTGCTCTAGGACCCAATTGTACAGATTCCAGAACCTCACCAGTATGTAAACTCTTTTTGAATTAAAAAAAAGGCATATCATTCAAAGAATAGAACAGTTTGAGAGCTCAGTATATACTTGAGTGAAGGCCCAGCTAGGTTAGGTTTTGGACACCACCACCTGTTCCTCCCCCTCCCCCCCCACTTCAATATGCCCAATGTAGTAAGAATGCCATGGACCCAAGTGACATCTCTCACCATTTCCAGACTAAAATGAACCATGTGCTCCAGGTGTGAGATATGGCACCCCTGTGGCCACCAGAATGTTGGGGTAACCCAACTCTTCCTTTCTCTCTGTCTCTGGGATGTGATCATTCTCTGAGGCTTATCTAGAATTCAGTCCTTATGACAGAGAAATTAGCTGTGTTTTCTTTGAAGGTCTATTTTTGGGGGGGGTCTGGTCGTGGGGCCTGAACTCTGGGCCTAGGCACTGTCCCCCAGCACTTTAGCTCAAGGCTAGTGCTCTACCACTTGAGCCACAGCGCCACTTCCAGCTTTTTTCTTTTTGCTTATGTGGTGCTGAGGAATGGAACCCAGGGCCTCATGCATGCAAGGCAAGTGCTCTACCACTGAGCCACCTTCCCAGCCCACAACGATATATTTCTATATACTAGCAATGACTAATCCAAAAATAAATGCCATCAAAATGTTTTCTTTGAAGGTCTAGACAACTTGGTGATATGCTGCCTTGTCCTTTGATTCCCTCCTTCCTTGACTCACTTTTCTTTTCCCTTTACTCTTAATGCCTATGCCTGTTCTTTCCAATTAAACCTAAGCATATAAGCCTTGCCTCAGGCTCTGTTTTCTAGGAAGCCTAATAGCACAAAACAAATACAAGGTTTTTAGGGAGTCAAATGCTGGCTTAGACGCAGGGCAAGGCACCAAGTATATACTGAGCTCTCAAACTGTTCTATTATTTGAGTGATGTGCCTGGTTTTTGTCCCAAAAGAGCTTACATCCTGATGAGGTTCTGGAATCTGTATGGTTGAGTTCTATAGCACCAAAAAGGAAAGAGCATATTCTGGAAGGAAATCAAGGGATCCATGGAAAGGCTACATGGAAAATGTTTAGGCTGGGCCTTCACAAGACCTCCGATCCAGACATGCAAATTTACTTTTTCTTGTAGCTAAGAATGTTGTCAGTGTCCTGTTCTTAGGCTAGAACTTAAGATACAACAAAGCCAGAGATAAGTGAGGCCAACTCATGGCCTCTTATTTGAATTATTTTATTTTTATATTTACTTGTTTGTTCTTCCTCCCATGGTTTATACGTATATTGTTTGCAAATATTTACCTACAACTTTTATAAAGTATAAATTCCTTGAGGATAAAGGTTTTGTGTGTCTTATTCAGCAACAAACGATGCCTAATATGTAGCAGAGACACTATAAATACATATTGACTGAGCTGGGTGCTGGTGGCTCACACCTGTAATCCTAGCTACTTGGGAAGCTGAGATTTGAGGTTTGAAGTTCAAAGCCAGCCCAGGCAATAAAGTTTGTGAGACTCTTATCTCCAATAAACTACTCAGAAAAAGCCAGAAGTGGTGCTGTGGCTCAAGTGGCAGAGTGCTAGCTTTGGCACAAAGAGGCTCAGAGATAGCATCAAAATCTTGAGTTCAAGCCCCAGGACCAGCAAAAAAATTAAAAAAATATTAACTGAATAACTGAGTCTAATGTCTAGGTAACAACAAGAGGAGGAAGACCTAAGAAATGGGGATAGGCAGATAGATGTGCTTCCACTTTCCTGACTTTGGCACGAGTGATATCTGTCATAGCTGCTATTTATTCCCTCCCTTGTTCACAAACATTCATAGTATTATTGTTTTATAACTAACATGTGCTGAGTATCACTGATATACAACAAGAACAATATAGAAATAATACTTAACCTAAAGGAGCTTAAATTCCTGGGGGGAGAGAAGATAAGGACATAGATAATTATAAAACACTTTGATCAATTCTGTAGGTGCACAGTGGAATTGCCTAACCCCTTATGTGAATGAGATTAAGAAAGGCATTTTCTGATATGGGGATTATCAGGCATTTCCAGCGCAGGCAGAAACCATTATGTTAAGATTTTAGAGGTGGAGGGACTCAGAAATGGTATCAATTGTCTTAACTGAAAATATGAAGGTGGCAGGCAAAGGTGCTTGTTGAAACTGGCCTGTAAAATGTGTCCTGATCAACTGAGAGGCTGTCAAAGTCATCACTGGCTTGGTTAAGATGGAGGTTTCACAGGTCATATAACCTGTTATCCATGCTTCCTAGAGCAGTGTAACCAAGATGTAGAAACACATCTTTGGTTTTGATAAGGGTTCTCTCCAGCTGGCAGGAGAGAGTGGAAGCTTGTGACCAGAAATCCTTTCAACCTTGAAGTTTCCTATGTAGGGACATAAGTCAGTAGCCTTTTTTTAGAAAGGTCCTTCAGATATCTGAGCATTTAGTTTTCTTACCCTAATTCGCCTCCCTTCCTCCTAGTTCTCCCCCAGGCCTTCATCAGAGTAGATGATAGTGATTACTTGAATGAATGAACCATAAGGAAGTGTCACCTAAACAGAATGTTACTTTATGAGTTTGTACTCACCTTAATGTATATATGTGAGGAAAAGGAGATAGGGATACTTGGATTGCTGTAGACCTGAAGGAATCTTCGAGTTTTTGGTGTTTGATTTTTAATACCTTTCCCTGAACAGAAGTGACCTCCCCTTGTCTTCTGAGTACGTGAACCCACAAAACTACAAGTCCCATAAAGCCAGTAGCCGGCAGCCACCATCTTGGCACACCTCAGCGCGCATGCGAACGGGAAAACAAGCTCTTGAGGAGAAGAAGCCCCGCCTCACAACAGCTCATTGGTCAAAGGGGAGGCGGCGGACTCAGCGGTTGGCCACGGCGCCCGCCCGTCTACTGCGTCGGTAGGGGTCAGAGTGCGCGGAGGTGAGTCGGTGTGTTGTGGACTCGTGGTGCTGGCTGCTGCTGTTGAGGCGGCCAGGAACGGGCTGTGGGGAGCGGGCAGAGCTGGTCCTGCCCCTGCCTGGCCAGCGCCGCATTCGGCGCGGGCCGCACCCGCCGCCGCCAACTGCCCTGAGCGCCTGCTGAGGCCGAGGGAGACGTCGGGGCCTGCACCTGGAGAAAGCCTGCCGCGCTGGCCCCAAGGAGGGGGGCGTTGCCATGGCGACAGCCTCTCCCGCAGCTGATGGGGGGCGGGGGCGGCCCTGGGAAGGAGGGCTGGTCTCTTGGCCTCCTGCCCCTCCCCTTACGCTTCCCTTGACTTGGATGGGCCCGAGTTGGGGGCAACACCCTGGGGTGGGTGATGCGGAGAGGCCCTTAGCTTGGGCCCTGGTGTAATGCATGCGGCATGTGGGTCGTGGCGCGCGATGTGTGCAGCCTGGGGGTGTATTGGGTTCACCCTAGGTGCATGTTCTGAGTAACATTTTGGAGAAGCGAGGTGTGGGGGGGGGTGGGGGGGGAGGAGAAGGGAATGGAAGGGGGTAGCGGGGCAGTGCTTTAATAGAAGATGGAATGAGTTGTTTAAGGGGGTTGACTTGTTAGCTGGGATTAAGAGGTTTAGCCAAAACTAGAAACAGAGGCAAGGAGATAGTAGATAATAGACCATGACCCTTTTCCCTCATCCTGGACACACGCACGGAAGGTTAGCAGTTTCCCTCTGTAAATATGAAGTTGTAGTAGTAATGGTGGAAAGAGTAAAAGAGAGGCCTAGCCTGGCAAGCTTTTTGTTTGCCTTTACTATAAGCGGTCCAGCAACAGGTGTTTTCTTAAAACAATACAAAAATGAATGAATGTGAGTTGAGGCTTGACTGTGATTGTTCTGTATTAATTTGGAAGATGGAGGATACAGAGCCCTTCATTGAGGATGTGGAGGTTTGGCTTTAGGGCTGGAATAGTGCTCATCATTGTCTTTGGCTAGAATTCTTTGGCCATTTCTTTGGCATTTGCTCTTTTTAGGTATTTCATCCGTTTTCCAGTGTAGTGTCAGCAAAGCATGGATCCCATTGGTTAGACTATACTCTATTTGACTACAGTAGGCTGTGATTGGCTGAGTGATTTTTGATTGTAGAGTTTCTGCCAGAAATTGGCTTCATCAAATGCTGCTTTATTCTAACTTCATCATACACAGCATACCTTGTTTTAGTGTGCTCGTTCTTGGAGCATAAGTGTATTATACCTGAATCCCCTACCACTTAAAAGCCAATTTATAAACAGGGACTTCAAGTGTGACTCGACTAATGTGAGTCTGTGATCTTGGTTAGAAACCCACTTGGCTGCCTTTGGGCTGGAGGTATAGAGTGGGGATAGGGAATGGAACTGCCGGGAAGTGATTGATAAGGTTTCCTTTATGGATTCTGTGGTGCTTCATTGGAGCTCAGAGCACTTTGGCAACTTAAGCACTCCAAATTAAAAGCTCATTAACAATTCCTGCCCAAAGATCCTGTAAATAATCAGCTTGCTAGGTCATAGAGCTTGGCTAAGAGCTCTCCCTCCAACTTGAAATTTCCAAATAAAAGTGCTTTTATTCCATTCCATTTTGAAAAGTGTTTTCTCTGTGGTAGAGCAAATTGGTAAGTGGCATTTTCCCCAGGGGATATGAGTTAAGTCTTAAATGTGTATGGGGCATATGTGTGTGTGTGTGTGTGTGTGTGTGTGTATGTAAATTATTGATCAATTGATCATAGTTATTTCTTTGTGCGAAGGGCAGTTTGCTCCTTTTGAAGATCTTAATTAGGTGATAAATATGATAGGTATCCCTTGATGTTTTAATTTGAGATTGGTTACTTTGACGTTTTTAGAACTTGAGGCAGACTTAGAAGTTTCTTGAAAATATTTCCTGCTTTGTGTGTCTATTTGCAATGGCATGTGGATTTGTAATAACCAACCCCTCCCTCAGTTCTGGTTCTTTGTTCCTGGGCTCTGAATATTGTTAGCTTTATATCCTCCTTGTCCTGGACAAGACTTCAAATTATTCACTACTTCATGACCATCTTTCTAAATGTACTACCAGAGAATATGAAATTCATCATCCAGAAGCCAAATGTAGTATTAGTAACTTTTGAAAGTTTTGTAGGGTTAGTAGATGTTAGTGAGATTAGTAGTTTAAGGTATATTTTGATTCTTAGTGGGGATTTGATCCTTTGTATTGAGGTAGACTTGTTGCAGAGATGTGTGTTTGTCCACAGCATTGGGGCTTTCCGGCTCTTGCAGAACCTTCAGCATCCCCAGCTGCCAGTCTTGGCATCTTCGAAGTAAGGAGAGGTGAGAATCCTGTTGCATGGTTCTATTTGGCCTTTTCTGAGTATTTGGGCTTGGTGGGTGTGGGATGGGGGTGGGTGCAGACTACATTTGTTTTTGTGTCTCTATAGATAGATGGATGGATGCATGAATGGCATATGTTATCTATGTATATGGTATATATGTCTATATATATCATATATATGGGCTCTGAATATTGTTAGCTTTATATCTTTCTTGTCCTGGATAGGACTCCAGATAGATAGATAGCTAGATACCATATATACCATCTTCATATAGCCACATTTGATAAGGCAGTATGTGCTCAAACCTATTGAAAGTTACCCTAGAGTAAGAGGTGAGGATGAAAGTTGAAGGTTAACTCTGAGGATTGATATCCAGGGACTTGGAGGCTGTTTGCCTAACTATTAAGTGCCAAGCAACTTTGCTAGTTTTTAGAATTGTAGTGGTGAACAAGACAACTATTGTCTCTGACAGCAAAGAGATAGAAAAGAGACAGTTTTGATATTCTCAAGAGTGCTGTAACAACGGAATAGTAGGTTCTTTGGGAGTAAGAAGTTTTCCCTGGACTTCTGGACTCTGGGATGACTTCTTGGAGGAAGTTACCTCTTGGCTGAGAATTAGATAAAATAGAAGGGACCAAGTGTGTTGAATTTAAGAAAGTTTATCATTATTAAAAGTGCCTCAGTAGGGTGTGTGTGTGTGAAGGCAGGACAGTATGGTGAGAAATGAAGAGGCATGAGAAATGAAATAGGAAAGGTAAGCAGAGTAATCTTGACTAAGCTTGAGTAAGATGAGTATGGTTGTGTGAATAGAGAAAGAAAAAAGATAAGCGTTTTTCTGTAAAGGAAAAAATAGTAAATATTTAAACTCTGTGGTTCTGTGTCACAACTATTCTACACAACTTGTTGTCATAGTATGAAACAGAATGAACACAGCTATAGTCCAGTAAAACTTGTAGAAACAGGTGGATTTGGTCCATGGACCACAGTTTGCTGATTCCCTAGATCATACCTAAGAACAGTAAGAAGCAAATTGAAGGTTATAAGTAGATGGGTGAGGTGGTGCATGATTGTAATCCCAGAACTAGGGAGGATAAAACAGGAGGATTGAGGCAGGAGTTGAGGCTACCCTGGGATACATAGTGAGACACTGTCTTAAAACCAAAAAACAGGGGCTGGGAAGGTGGCTCAGTGGTAGAGCGCTTGCCTTGCATGCATGAAGCCCTGGGTTCGATTCCTTAGCACCACATAATCAAAAAGAAAAAAGCCGGAAGTAGCGTTGTGGCTCAAGTGGTAGAGCGCTAGCCTTGAGCTGATGAGCTGAGGCATAGCGCCTAAGACCAGAGTTCAGGCCCCATGACTGGACCCCCCCAAAAAAAAACACAAAAAAAGTTATAAGCAACAAATTTGACATTACATTTGTGCTGTAGAAAGTTTTATTTTAATGCCAGTATAAAGTCTAAATTGAAGAATTCAGGTAATTATGGAAGCAGAGACCAGTAAGAAGGCTGTGGCAGTTACATGGGTAGCATAGTGTACATTTCTACCTTTGTAGCACGATTTGATTCTTAAAAACTAAGTATAAAGGCTGAGGGCTAAGTATAAGAGCTCATGTGGTAGAACACCTGCAAACATGAAGAGGTCCTGAGTTCAAACCCCAATACTGCCAGAAAAAACAAATGCCAAAAAACTAAGTGTAATTGAATTTTACATACTTCTCTATATATTGGTTGTTTTAACTTCTTAGCCAAGGACTTTTTTTTTTTTTAATATTAGCTTGCTTTTCACAGACTAGGAAACAAGGACAAGAAAAGAAAATGTAGAATTAAAAGGTTTGGAGAATTCTTTTTTTCTTTTCTTTTTTTTTTTTGTTGTTGTTGTTTGTGGGGCTTGAACTCAGGACCTGGGTGCTGTCCCCGAGCTTTTTCACTCAAGGCTGGTGCTCTACCACTTTGAGCCACAGAGCCACTTCTGGTTCTCTGGTAGTTAATTGGAGATTAATTGGAATCTCACAGACTTTCCTGCCCAGACTGGCTTTGAACCTCAATTCTCAGATCTCAGTCTCCTGAGTAGCTAGGATTTACAAGCATGAGCCACTGGTGCCCAGCTGGAGGACTCTTTTTTATTGAAGGAAGTATGGAATAAATGGAATCTTGAAAGTAATTTTGATTTTAGAGCTTCTAGTATAATGCCATTTGCTTTGAACCTCTTGGACTTTTCTTAAGCTTTCCAGGAAATTGTCTTATGTAATTCTACTCAGTCTTTCCTTGCTTATAGCAAACTGATGATGACCATTGCTCAGCTTTGGAAATGCCTCCCAGTTCAGGCAGATGGTATGTGTGAGGCACAGCACTAAATAAAGTATTGAGTGTACTCTCCTTTTGTCTTCTTCCTCCTATGTGCCCAGTGTACTTGGAGTGAATGAGGGAAGCTTATAGGTTTCTGGTAGTAGTGTTTTTTTGATTTTGAACAGTCTCGGGACTTCCCTTTCCTATGTGTAAAATGGAGATATGAGACTTAATAGGATTAGTTAAAGGCTTTAATAATGTATGTAAAGCTTTTAGCGTAGTGTCTTGATAATTTGTGTGTGTGTGTGTGTGTGTGAGTGTGTGAGTGTGTCAGATCTCAAGGCTAGTGCTGCACCACTTGAGCCATAGCTTCCCCTTCTGGCTTTCGTGGTTAATTTGAATTGTCTCATAGACTTTCCTGTCCCCTGGCTTTGAACTGTGATCCTCAGGTCTCAGCCTCCTAAGTAGCTAGAATTACAAGCACAGTAGTTGGGTGACCTGGTCTTTAGCTTAGTTGTAACCACGGCAAGGTGCTGCTTTTTGTAATGGAAAATTCATATTCAGCAAGAGTTCTATTTCTCAGGATAGATATTAATTCCAATATTGTCTGTAAAACAAATTGAGTAAACAGCTTCTCAGTAGAAATCCAGCAACATGTTACCAGTCCCTGGCTTTCTGAGATCATTTATTAACATTGCCAACTTTGTGGCCACACATCATTGTAAAATGCCTCTTGAATGTTTTTTCTTTTCATCACCACTCTGGGAAATTGTTCAGGCAGTCAGTATTTGTTTCCTTGCTAGTGTGAGAAAACTGAGGCCCAAGAAGGTTGGTTATTAGTAAGTTACTCAAGGGGTCACACTGTGAATACTGACAAAGCTAGTACAGACTTGCCCCCAGATGAAATTGTTAGTTGATTGCTGCGATTTTGTTTCCTTTGAGAGAGATGCATAGTCATTGCAGATCTGCAGTGTGGTGCATGCCTTGTCCAGATCTAGTGGGTGTGATTTGGATTTTATTTTATTCATTTGGGTTCTTTTGGGTTTTAACTGATGACTGTTTTGACCAAACCTGTTGGAAAGCAGAATCCCTTTGGGTTGTTGTTTTTAGCCTTTCCTCCATTGGGGGACTCTCCTTAGAGAGCCTTAGGTTACAAGGGATTGCTTTGATATGTTCAAAATTATGCCTTGTGCCCCACAGCTACAGGTAAAATCAAAAGGCAGATAATTTATGGGAGTGTCAAAGCTGGCCGCTGGCACCTCAGAAGGCCATTAGTATGCCTGTTCAGACCCTGTGTCCTTGCAATTGATTCCTCTTTGCATGAGCCTGATTTGGGAAGCTGTAGATCTGTGGGTAGTGATTGGATGTGACAGTCCAAACACTGGTCCCTAAATTAATCCTTTTAATGGTATTCCGGCATCAAGGCAATTTCTCTCTCTCTCTCTCTCTCTCTCTCTCTCTCTCTCACACACACACACACACACACACACAGAGTGAGAAAATTGAATGGACTGGGTGAAAGAAAGAAGAGAAGCTTTGTTTAGTGCTTGGGCTGTTGTCTGTTCTGGCATGTTTTAACTCTAGAGCAGTTGATATCATGACTTTGGGCATATAAATTCATTCAGCAAATCTTTATTCACACTTGGTGTCTGGCTCTGTGCTAGGTGCTGGGAATGCAAAAATGAACAAAACACAGCCCTTGACTTTAAGAATCTAGCTCAGTGTTTCTCAGGCTTTAAAACTCATATGCTGCTGACATAAAATTGAAACCCTACCTCAAAAACAACCAGTGTAAAAAAAAAGCTTGAAGATGTGGCTCAAGCGGCAAAGACTACCCAGCAAGTTCAAGGCCTCAAGTCCGCAGTATCACCAAAGAATGAACTGTGTTACTGTCACACTTAAGCAATTAACTTTATGTTACCAGAGAAAAGCTACTGAAAGGGAGATTTAAACTGGAATTTGAAGGAAGTGGTAGCATTTGCCATGGTCCAGATTTGTTATCTTTTTTTGGTTGTTGTTGGTCCTGGGGCTTGAACTCTGGGCCTGGGCGCTGTCCCACAGGTCTTCAGCTCAAGGCTAGCTAGTACTCTACCACTTGAGCCACAGTGCAGGGTCCAGATTTGTTAAAGTCACATTTGGGAACTTGAACAAGAGCTGAATCTGCCTCTATCAGTTTTACACTTGGTAGGATGAGAAGATTTGGACCTTTGGAATAGTATTTGGAAAAGAGAATTGAGTTTCTTGTATTGTCATTTATTACTGTTATTATTATTATTTTGGTCAGTAGTGGGGCTTGAAGTCAGGGTCTGGGCACAGTTCCTAAGCTCTTTTGCTCAAGACTAGTGACCTACCACTTTGAGCCACAGTGCCACTTTTCTGGTGGTTAATTGGACAAGTCTCAGGGACTTCTTTCCTGGGCTGGCTTTGAACCAGGATCCTCATATCTTAGCTTCCTGAGTAGCTAGAATTACAGGCTTGAGCTACCAGCGTCCAATTGTACTGCCATTTTAATTCAAGGCACTCCTTGTTTTTTGTGCTCTGGGTTATTTTTTTTCAAGTGTATTTGGCGTTACTGGGGTTTGAACTAAGTAAGGGCCTTATGTTTGCTAAGCAGGTGATTTGCTACTGGACCACACCTCTAGGCCTTTTTTTGTGCCAGTACTGAGATTAGAAGTCAGGTCCTTATACTCTCATTTTTCCCCCTCAAAAGGAT